CATGTAAGAGAGGGGACACATGTTGATGTAGAAGAGACATGAAGAAGAGGGGACACATGTTGATGTGAAGATGTAGAAGAGACATGAAGAAGAGGGGACACATGTTGATGTAGAAGAGACATGAAGAAGAGGGGACACATGTTGATGTAGAAGAGACATGAAGAAGAGGGGACACATGCTGATGTAGAAGAGACATGAAGAAGAGGGGACACATGTTGATGTAGAAGAGACAGGAACAAGAGGATTTTGCATAATAGGTGACCTTTAATTAATTTCAACACTAAAAAGGTGAGAGTGTTGGAGAGTTGCCTACCATCCAGTGCGCTCCAGATAGAAGTTGTCCATAGTTTTCAAAGCCTGATGAGGAGAGGAGTAAAACAGGATTTATGCTGATTAATCAGTTAGTTCACTTAATCGACAAATATGTTAAAATAAGTTTCTCCGTAAAACATCATGCAAAAGCATCACTTCAAAGCTTGTGTTGCAAGAAAAGTGTGTTGGATATAAATTATTCCTCAGAACAACAAATTAGTGCACGTATCAAGTTGTTTTTGATAATACAGCTCTGAAACTACAAAAGTCAGAAACTCACTAATTCAAAACACAATACATTTAAATAATATGGCTTTGTGTTGGTTTACAACAATGTGTGTTTTTTGACATACCAATGTGCAGAGCAATGGCCATCCCAATAGCAGACCAGAGGGAGAAACGACCTCCAACCCACTAAGAGAAACAACAAAGAAGATACTGAAGGTATATCCATGCAGAATGTGGGTTTTCATAAAACAGAGGCAATGTTCACACAAGGGATGTCCCGATCACCTTTTTTTGCTCCCGATCCGATTCCGATCATTTGATTTTGACAATTTGCCGATACCGATTTTTCCCGATCCGATCTTTATGCAATGCATTAAGAGAAAAAAAAGCATTCAAGTTGTCCCTTAAGGTTATTTTTTCTTATTGAAATTGGATATTCTATCCAACATGGATATAGCTTCTTTCTTTCACAGCAGCATTGGATCAGTTCAGTTGTGCAGCATTGGATCAAAACAAAATAAAGCTTTCAGTACTCGTTAGCTTACTGCTACAATTAGACACTGCGCCCTGCCCACTCTGTTGCCAGATTTGAGAGAAATAAGCAGGTCTATGAAAACAAGCCCCAAAGAAGCAACACATACATGATGTTCTGTAATTTGAAACCAAAACTAAGGCCTCAGGATAACTTTCAGACTTGAACATGGTCATTTTTGTTTTGTAACATTGAATACAAAATTTAAAAAAAAGTATTTTAAAAAAAAAAAAAAAAAATCCCGATCCCCGATTTTTTTTCTCCCGATTCCGATCTTTTGAAAATCACGTGATCGGCTCCGATCCCCGATCACGTGATCGGATCGGGACATCTCTAGTTCACACACATCAAAAGGTGCATTACTGCAATAGGAACATTCATGAATTCATCGGTAGAGAAATGGATAACCAATAATGGAACTAGACTTATTGCACATGCCTTCAAAAGAGAAACTATGAGATTTAGTTCAAAACGACACATCAGCACACAAATAAAAAACGGCATTGCGATATTTTGATATTGAATATTTACTAATAAAGATAAAAAACGATTTATTATTTTGATTAATCTTTAAGAGTTGCTGTTCCTGGATCTCAAAGTGTGCAGCACAATAACATTCATTTGCATAAATCCCTTTCTTCTGGTCTCTATTAGGGAAAATAAATACTGTTGATCTGTTAACTTCATGAGTTCAAAACACTGGCAGCCATGTTTCCCGTGATATAAAGGGCATATTACATCTGTTACTAAATTCAGCTGTGTGACCTTTGATTCCCCTCAGCCTTTACAGCCACCTCTGCAAGAGAGAAGGTCGCTCCCAATAATAACCGAGGCAGAAGAGAGAGGAATCTGATTACAGGCAGCTGCTGGCGGCCACACAGGTCAAAACCTTATCGTCTTATTTATAGCCGCTGCCTACCGCTTCAATCACAGCGTGTGATGAACACAAGACCTGAAGCACAAACACACTCACATCCCAGAACTCAAACATGTTCTCCGTGTCGATGCCGAAGTCCTTCACTTTGGGCTGAGGGGAAGAAAGAGAGAAAAGATGGATAATTAGGATCAAAGAGAGAAGGTTTCACCGGCAACATAATGCTTTGTGACTTACTCCATTGGTGGAGAGAGCCACGAAGTGCTTGGCGACAGCAGCTTTCTGTTGAAACAGGAAAGAGAGGTTAAGACGGGAGGATATTAGCTAACAACACAATGCTGTTTAAAAGCTGCTGCAAACTCACATCTTTGGCATGTTCGAGGAACCATTCCTTGGCTGAATTGGCGTTGGTTATCGTCTCTTGGGTGGTGAATGTCTACAAATGGAGAATAACATCATAGAAATTCATATTAAACAAAGCCTTAATATCCGGTATAATGCAAACAAAAGGTAAAGATTTTCCTTCAGAAGAGGAACTGTTGATGACGCATTAACACACATCACAAAGACTCTCATTGTTTATACGTGTCCTTGCTTTAAGATATTTGATTGTTACTGAATATGAAATAAAAACAACATATGATTTGGAAAAACCTGTTTGTATAATCTTTAAAAGGTTTCTCTCCCTGAGCATCTCTTGACTTGCAGTTCAACAGGATTCAAGTCTCTGTTCATTTACAGCGTACGACAACCTCTGTCCTTAACTCCTTGAAGCTCAAAAGGAAAAACTCTCCAAAGAAATCCCACAATTTACAGGACGAAGCCTCTTTGGGGTCAACAAAAGATCGTGTACCAAATGATGGTCAAACGTACCTTGGATGCGATGATGAAGAGGGTTGTCTCGGCGTTCAGCTGTGCCAGGGTTTTAGTGATGTGCGTCCCATCAATGTTGGACACAAACCAAACACGTGGTCCCCCCTTCGAGTAAGGTTTCAGAGCCTCGGTCACCATCAGAGGGCCCTGCGAGACAAATCAGTTCAATTCAACCTCAGATAGAATAAGACTGCAATGTTTAAGGTCCCCTATGATACTGTCTTTCATCAATACATTACAGGTCTCAGATATATACAGAGCCTGTCTCTGATTGGCTGAAACACCAAACAGATCATTGCAGCATTACCCATAATCCCCTCTGTTTCAGCCCTGTTTCCAAAGTGCTGATTCTCTGTCTGTTACTTTAGATGAAAATAAGGAGCCCCTCCCCACGCCCCTCTGAGAGAGATTTGGTTACAAAGAACACAATGGTGCTCTAGGAGGAGATTCAGGTGATAAGGGGGGGGGTTACCTTGGTTGCTGATTGGCTAATGGTTACACAAGACAAAACATCGTTATGACATCATAAAGTGGCCAAAATCTGATCAGCTCATTTTCAGACAGGTTTTTATAGAAATGGATCAGGACAAAAAGAGAGAGAATCTTTGTTCCTGAAACTTTCAGAGTCTCTTTCCACAGAGGGGACACATGTTGATGTAGAAGAGACATGAAGAAGAGGGGACACATGTTGATGTAGAAGAGACATGAAGAAGAGGGGACACATGTTGATGTAGAAGAGACATGAAGAAGAGGGGACACATGTTGATGTAGAAGAGACATGAAGAAGAGGGGACACATGTTGATGTAGAAGAGACATGAAGAAGAGGGGACACATGTTGATGTAGAAGAGA